GAGGAAAGAGAATCAACCCCCCCTCTCCATTATCTCCATCTCTTTTTTTTTTTTTTACCCTTCCTTAAAACTCTTCTTTAACATATTGGGTTAAGGCTTTAAAAGCAAAGGCTCGCTCTAAGAAACCCTGTTCCTTCAATGATTCCCTATTTCAAATAAAAGGATTTAAGTTGACGTATGACCACGTGAGCACATAATACAGCGCATTATTGTGGCATTTGGAGTGGAGACCCGGTCTGGCTCCGTCTGCGATTACGCTTTTCCAGTTTCTGTTCAGAGCAAGCACTGCTTTCTATTATTTTTTTTCCTGCCCCCATCACCGTCCCCGCAAGAGCTGGCCATTTCGCTGACAGCTTTCGTTCCTTATGGAAAGATTATTGTCGAGCCGAGAGGACGAAATGCTTCGTTAGAAAGGATGGATTTTATTTTAAGGTATTTCCGTTGATTGTTCATTTATGTGGTGAGTTATTGCTGTTCGAGGCAAAGGTCAGTAGAAAAGGCTGCAGCGAGTGCGTGTGTGTGCGTGCGTGTGTGTGCCCCCGAAGCCAGACTGCTTCCCCCTTTGTTTCAATTTGCTGCGGTAAATATTCAACTCTCCCCTCGCAGCGAGCAGACCAGGGAGAGTTTGCTGCTTTATTTATTTTTCTCCATAGAGATCCCACACCGCATTTGATGGCCAGCTGCCTCGGCTCCGTCCCCTCGATTGCCATGTTGTCATTATTTATGATCGGCTAGAGATGGGAAGCTGCTTTTATTCTTGTTGGAATTTTTATCTTTATGCTTGCGTGTTTGTTTGTTTATTTCTGTGTCGGGGGGTGGGTGGAGAAAACGGTGTGTGTGTGAGGGGACACTCCTCGGCTGGGGTCGTGCTCGGGTGTGCGGCGGCGGCGGTTGTTGTTTTATGTGTGTTTGTTCGGCCGATGCCGCCCTGTAAATCGATGAGTATGCAATTGTGCTGCCATTTTATTTATGATGCTTTAGTGATACTTTGTTTACCCTGCACGGAGGGCTGCATGGGCGCCCTGCTCTGTGGCAAAGCTTCCCTTCCCAAACGAGCCTCAGACGCTCGTCTTTATTTGTCCTCGGTGAGAAGGAGCTCAACCAAGAGCGAGCCGTGGCTTCTAACAATAAATCAACCCTGGAAATGTGGTTTTTTTCTCTGAATGAGGATCTGGAAAGAGAGAAGAAAAGGGGGAGGAGTGGAGTCTATCTTTTAGGAGAGCATATACTAATCCTAAATTCTTCTCCATACCGTCTTATACATATAATATATCCATATTTATAATTATATGAGCTTATGCTCATGCATATAAATATATGTGAATATAGCTGTATACAAGGAATGCACTTTAACCGTCGAAAATGAAGGAATTACTTGGTTATCCATGCAGGGCAAAATGTTACATAAAATGACATCCCCCGGTGGGTCCCGGCTTTGGGAAAGGTCACAGCGCTGAGGTTTTCTTTCCCCCAATTTGGTCAGCGCTTCTCGCCTATTTCTGCTGTACCATTTTGTCCCCAGTTACCGGGTGCTTGTAATTACTCAGCTTTTGAGGGGTTAGAGAGAGCGGGAGAGAGGAAGAAAAGTGAACGTTTGGAAACAAAACGTCCGCTGAAAACAAAAAAGGGGTATTTCCACTTGAAACTATTCGCTGCTATTCTATAGGGATCTACAGGGCAGAAATAGTGGTGCTAGTTTCTCGCTTTCTTGCTCTCCAGGCTGCTCTCCGAACAGAATTGACCCAAATAAATGCTATTTCCCCTTCTCGCCATCCTGGATGGTGTTGTTCTTTATTAGACACAGTGTCTCTCTTGTGCCTAGGAAGGAGAGCTATTTCACTCCCAGTAGTGTATTTAAAAGGGAAAGTTGGCTTGGCCGTATTTTGAAATGGGCCAAAATGCGCCTCCAAAATAAAGTGTAAGCTTTAATTGCAGCTCAATTACTTGGCAGTGTTTCCTCTGATTTATGACCTCGTTCGGATGCATTTTGACCCAGTTAAAACACTCATAAATAATACCGTCCTACTGTAGAGCAAAAGAAAGCAAGGGGACTTTTGTAGGAGAGGGATATTTCGGGCGGCTTGTGTAAACAACCTCAGTCTGCTGAGCAAATAGCAAAGCGTCCGTTGCGATTCTTTGGTGTTAGAGAATATAAGCAGTAATTCAGATTAACCACGGCTGCTTGCACTATTCGTTAGTTCACTTATTCTCTTAGGCAGCTAATATACCCGACAAACTCTCCAATGACTTGAGTAGGCATGGCTTCCAGAAGTTGTCCCATTCTCCTGTGAGTCCCCTCCTCGCTAATTCTTCCCTAAGAGATCCCCCCAAATCGGCCATGAATTATAGGGTTGCCTGCTTGTACTGCGGAGCATCCAAGGGTAAAACGCTTTATGGCCGTTATTTTATTCGGAAACTAATGATAATTGCGTGCAAGGGGAGAGTCCCGCAGAATGTGACTCTTTGGGAAGAAAATGCAGCTCATTTCTGACTCATGTATCAGCCCTGAACACTCCCAAACCCTCTCCGAGCTGAGCGCTATCGCTCTCTGCGGAATGTAGCAGAAAGAAAATATTCGGCCTCTGAGGGGAAAAGACAGATAAAAGCAGCAGGGATCTGTGCGTTGGGACATGTTACCTTGACTTATCCCTCCATCATAAGACACATAAAAAAATCATCTTCTCATGTTTAAAATGACCTCTTTGGGGAGAGAAGGGGCGTGGGGAAATGGGGCTAATGGGTGAAATATCGCAAAATACTCTTTGCAGGCAGTAAGACGAATGGCGGAAATACTTCAGTATTCCTATGAACCACTTCAGCTCTCACAATTAAAGTCCCTTGCAAATCCTTTCAGTTTAAAAAAGATCCCATCCCCCTCCCCTTCCTTGTCCTCACTCTTAAATACCCTTAAATACTCGCTATTAAGGAAACACAGACAGAATATCCAGCTAGAGACAGCTCCAAAGTTTAAATGCACTCATACGAAAAGATCAAACAAGCTTTCGGTAGCGCTCCCCAAACCGGCACCGTGCCTCGCGTCCGCAGGTTTCTGGAGTCCTAAGTTCTCACTTCCCAAATTTTCCTCTTTATTCCGGAGGGCTCTGCCGGGGCTCAGCGGTGCCTCTCGCTATTTGGTCGGGAAGCAGGGCGAATGGCCGATCAGCAGTTTCAGAAGAAAGTGTGGGGTTGATTATTGACTAAAAAGACTTTTCTTCCGATGCAACATTCAAGAGGTTGTTTGAAGCAAAATGCATACGCGGGATTTTTGCCTCTCCTCCCCTCCTACGCTGCCCGCTTCCCCTTTCATGTGGTGCCTTCTCACTTATGCCATAAGGAGCAAGTGTTTTCTGTTTTAGTGCTCTGTTTACAGCTTTCGTGCATGAAGTCATAAATCTTGCATAGCCATAAATGACACAAACCATTGGTATGCGTAAGAGGCCACCCCAGCCTTATAGTGCTTTTTATTTCTCGCTTCCCCCTCGCTTTGTTTGTACTTTAAGATGACGCTGGGCTCCCTCCTGCTTTAAACGGACTAGTTATATTTCTAATGCCTTAATTAACGAAGTAACGTCAAATTTACACCTAGGCATTATTCGGAGCCTCCGCTTAACGCACGGAGCCCAGGACCTATCCAGAGGGCTGCAACTGGATCTAAGTTCTTGTGTGGGCACGGTAGCTGCTGCAGATAAAAGGGGGGGACACTGGCACCACCGCTGCCGAAAGCCCCGGG